GAAAGAAAACCAAACATAAGAAAACAGTAGATTTCTTTAAATATTCCAATATAAATAAAATAGCTCATAGAATACAGATAACTGTAAATACAGGGGGAGATGTCATTTTAAGTATAATCATCCTATTATATGTCACACAGAAATGTTTTCTCAGATATAGAGGAGAAAAGAAAAGAAAGGAAGAACCGGATCATGCTGGGTAATCGTTTTGATGTGATCCAGGAGTTTCTTTCATATTAGTTCTATTCCTCTCTCCTGAAGACTGCTATCTTGCCTACAGCTGAGCCTCATTTACATCAGATTCTAGGAATGTCCTTTCCTAGTGGTGACCTAGGAATAAATATGTGGCTCCTACATGCAAGAAATGTGATGCTTGGCCATTGGGGGGGGCTGTGAAAAAGTTCCTAGAAAGAACTCCTGCATCCTGAGTTGATTTTCCTGTAAGGCTGACCACTACAGGGACTGGAGAGCTTGGAATGTTGCAGATCCAGAGCCTATTTACAAATTATCTGGGGACATCTTTTAGTCCACAAATAACCACACCTTGCCTACCTCCGTTTCTGAATTCACATTCTTGTGACTAATAAAATGTATTAACTCAGTAGAACACCAACTCACTAATCAAAAGCCTAAGAATGTCATCAGATAGCATCTGAGACCTATGGTAGAACAAACATCCCCCCCTTTGCTTAGCAGCCTATTGAATGTGTCCACCTATGTATTTGATAAGTGTCTTGATTTATGATGTTTCTTTGTCCCATTACTATAAAAATGTAATGTAACTATTACCAGGCTGGAACATGGAACTTGGGTTAGCCTGAATCTGTGTTTCCAGGTCATGGTGACTCTTATTTGGCTCCAGAATAAACTATCTCTTATCCTCTCTGAGGTGAGTTATCATCAGCGAGTTTCTCAAAACATCAAAACCTGCTCTGATAGGTCAAGCAAGTTCTGCTTGGACGGCAATTTCCCTGGAGTTGGGAAGGGTAGGTCTTGAAGATTTGCTTCTCCTTCTTCTGTGCCAGGTACTGAGCCAAAGGCTCGGCCTGCGGGGGGCAGCTTCAGTGTCGGGACTGTGCAGAGCGCGGGGTAGTGCTTTTGTGCTGTGTGGACAAGTGTTAGGGGAAGTGAACAGTAGAGCCTGAAGTTGTTAGATTTTTGAGGTGCAGAAAAAGAAAAAAGTTTCCATAAACGACCAAAGCCAGATTTTTCAGGAGTTTGAACGGCGTCTCTTCAGCGAGGTGACACAAGATGAAAGATTGTTCTAGATTTTATGTTGCTGGAAATAAAGAGCATACACAGCTGTGGAGTCTGGAGTGAAGGAGTCTGAGTGAAGGTGTCCTTGGGCTCTTTTCCTGGAGCCGCTTGCTTGAGCAGAACAAAGCAGCTGTTTCACCTTGGTGTGGTTAGCTGATAACAGGGAAGCAGGACCAGCAGAGAAACATCTTGGTAGGAAGCCTGAATATCTGTCTTTTCATTAGCTGTGGCACTCAATCAGCAGTCAAGGTTGGGTACATGGGGGAGGGAAAGGAAGAGGGCTTGCAGTTGTCTAGGAGATAGGCAAGCTGACTAGGGAAGAGGAGGAACGGAGTGTGGAAAGAGCAGCCAGTCTGGGCAGGTTCCATGACCCCTCTGAAGCTCCTCCCTGAGGAACACGTGCAGACACCTTTTCTGTTTCCCCTGGGAAGTTCATCTAATAGGACGTTGGCAGCTCTCTTCATATTCTTGCATCTAATTTAACACTGAATTTTGGGCCAAAAGTTCTTCCAAATGAGGCTTCGGTTCCAGGAAGGGACCACTGGACCCAGGGTGGGGCAAGGGGAGGAGAGATGTGGCCCAGGACTCACAGTCCGCACAGTAGAGGAAGCCCCTCGCAGCCCCCTCGGCTCTGTGCGCCCTCCACTCCGCAGTGCGTCCTTCCTTTCCACGTTTGCTTTCTCTCCGGCTGAAGTAAACCTTGACTGCTGCAGCTCCCTGCTGCTCTCTCTGGACAGTTAAGAAGCAGTCTGTGCTGTGACTTGACAGCCCTTAAGTTATGGAACCTGGGTCCTGCGTGCTCTTTGTCCTGTAAGTTATGTTGTACTGAATCCGGTGGTGTGAAACTGAAATGTCTGGTGTTTCATTTATCTGGGGGATTGCTCTCTCCTCTCTCTCTCTCTCTCTCTCTCTCTCTCTCTCTCTCTCTCTCTCTTTCTCTCTTTCTCTCTTTCTCTC